AAAGATTGATTTATTAATTTCACAAAAAGGTTTGATAAGTACTTAGTCGACCTCTGTTAAATGTATTTGCATGCATACTTTATATTTGTGTAGTAAGTAGGCACAGCATTGGAACTCCTCTACGTGTATACTTGATATTGGTGACCTTATACTGCGTAACAGGGAGCCGTACGGATTCATCAAGTTAAATTAGTCCCTTACAACGAACGCCCACCGGTACCTCGCTTTCGCATCTCGCCTCTCACAAATAACAACCTCCGCCTCGCAACTGCCGCAAGGACCGGAAATAAAGTAGCCCCGGCTACTATGGTTTAGTTTCTTGGGTCTCATCTTCTAGGTGAGGGTATAATGAAGGGATTATTATGGTAGGTCAACGAGGGTCCATGGATACATCTTCTAAATAAACTCACGGAAGAACGCCACATGACCTCCTTGCACGGCAGCGGGATATGGGTAAAGCATTTTCCCTGCAGTAAAAAAAGGGCCCAAAATGAAATTTAATGATACGGTACTAGTTAGTTCCTGATCAAGACACTGAAGAAATGCTCGCGTACACACGGAATTGAGTATTTTTATACGCACGAATAAAAATTTATAAAGCCTTGATTTTTTTCCAATGTATTTACAACCGGTCATATTTCAGAATCACATTATTGCTAAGATTAAATTAATTCTATTACAATAGAACAATGCTGGAAGATTATAACACCTGCTTTTTCAAAAGAAATGTAACATCTTGCATTGAATGCGCAATTTATCACTGGTTCTGTTGGGTGCTTTATCACATTACTGGCAGGAATGCAATTAACAACTTGTCACTAACAATATGTATGTCCATGACAGCCATTGTTCAACTGTTTCCCTGTCTGGTGCCATTGTGGACAGACGGTTAAGTTTAATTGTCACTGAATGGGTACATTAGGAACAATCAACACTCGACACAACTGTGCAATATTAGCAAATTATACAAGAGAAAGGTATCTCTCATTGGCAATATTACAGTATAAGATTCCTTATATGTTTCAGAAACAGAGATATTATTACTTCTTTCATTTTAAGGATGGCACTAAAAATAAATGTTCGGTGTCGAATAACAGAAAAGATTTCGATAAAATCTCAAAATGGATATTACATTTTATCAGACCAATGAACGCGATGATGAATAAAAGTATTTAATAGGATTCTTCATTCAATAAAGTTCAAGGTAAAAAAGCTCTTATAAAGTAAATGCAACAAAAATACAATCATATCTTTCCTCTTTATATTAGCACAGATGTACAAAAGTAAAAAGTCGACTTCTTTACACTAACATATATTTCGTGTTTGTCTACTGACACCTACGAGTACCAATTCATAATTCGGAACTATTGATGCCCTAAGTTATAACGAGATTAAAATGTGAAAATGACAAAGTTCGTCGGTGTATTGGCACTGGATTTACAGTTACATTGTTTTGATAATGTGTGTCAGAGTACCAGAGACGCATTACTGTTGAATGACCCGTATTCGTGCCTAATACTGACCGTCATTACACAGTGGCAATATAGCAACATTATTACTATTCATATATTTGATTACTTGTTTTGCAGCGGTACTGTAACGTCTGTTTTTGTGATAACTGCTTATGTTTGACTCTTTCGATTTGTCTCTTTTACCGTCGTATTGTCTACTTTACCTTTGGTCATAATCACTACATATTATAAAACAAAGTACCCCGCCGCTTCTGTCTGTATGTCTGTTCGCGATAAACTTGAAAAGTACTGGACGGATTGATTTTCATGCGGTTTTCAACAATATATAGTTCTTGAGGAAGGTTTTAGTGTATAGTAAGTTTAGGTTTTGTACAAACTGACGATATTAGTTCAATATGTCGGAAAAAATAAAGTCAATCGGAAGCTTTCCTCGAAAACGCTGCCAAAAACTTTTGAGTTATAACAAAACATTGTATGTTGGAATTGTATCTCTTTAATAGATCTACATAAAAGTCCACGTTGGTAAATGTCTATATTCCAAGGATAACCCACAATAACCATTTTTTACGTATACTTAAAACAGTAAAATGATGGGTTATTTACTAACCTATTTTTAACAATAAAGTATTAATCCTTATTATTAAATAAATAATTTAGATACGTTATGTACGTAATGTAGATCAAAATGTCCTTTTGCACAATATAAAAAAAAAATTACAACTAAGGGGGTGTCCATAAATTACGTGAGGTGTTTTTTTAAATTTTCTGTCCCTCCCTCCCCCTCTGGTGAGATATCGTGAGATTTTATTCAACCCCCTCCCCATCCCCCAATCTCACGTGAGATTTTTCAAAATGCATTTGATGAGTACTTGCGAGTATTTGCCTTGTTGTAGTATCGAGTATCGCTTTTGAAAGTATCGATACCTACTCGGTATCGAAGTATTGTTCGAGCCCTACAAATATGGTGGTTTGACATTCAGTCGATGTATAGCGTCGATATATGAATGAATTATTTTCTTTCGAACGAATTAGTGAATGATCTTAATCGTATACGATTACGCTTAAGATTAAATCTTAAGCATGTACAATCTAGATTAAATGGACCAAAATAGTATTTTTTTTGTTTCAATCAGAAAAAAAATTGCGTGATATTTGCCGAGACCCCCCCTCTCTCCAACGTAAGATTAGATGAGATTTGCCTCGACCCCCTCCCCCCCTTAAACATCTCACGTAATTTATGGACGCCCCTAATGAGTTATCGAAAAATAAATAAATGTCCGAGCGAGCTATTAAATATCGATGAATAAAAATGAATCGCCGAAAGGTATATACGCGCATAACTTCCGAATTACAGTTCCGACTGCACCAAATTGGATGATTTGGATTTTTTTTAAACGTGTATAAGGCGGTACGAAGTTCGCGGGTCAGCTAGTTAGGTATAATTGTTTTAAACTCTTTATTATAAACTATATGACCTGATGGAAATCTTATTCGTATCACCGTTAAAACCTTCCCTGGACTACGACAAATATTTTTTAGCCAAAATCATCTAAATCGGCTTAGTCGTTCTCGAGTTTCTGCGAGACAAACGTATAGCAATTAATTTTTATATACCGCTTATATAAAAAGAAATAAATATTAGGAATACATTGCTCAACACATATTCCAAGATGAGCAACTAAACCGACATTGTGGAAAATCTGAGATAACGATTGTATCACAACACCAGTCCCGAGATAATATAAAAATAAAGTTAATTTTCTACATTAATCTGACCGGAAATCGGACCCGGGATATCAGAGGTGGCGACACCTCAAATAAATTAAACTTTAATATTACCTACACAAATGCTTGACACTTTTTTCTTTTTATTTTTCTAGTCCTGCTTCTAATTTAGTTTAATATAAAGCATTTAAATTTTGTGTTGAAGAATGCATTCAAACTTTTCTGTTCCTTACCAGTTTGTCAAGTGTCTTCGTGCATTTGCCTCTTTTTCCCGCCTCGTGCTACAGACACAATAGTTTAATGTCTTTGTTCGGAGACATGCCAAATGGCATGAGTTCACGGTCGCATTGCAGACATTACTGAGTTATAGAGACATTTTGATCAATTGCAATGCTTATGTAAAAGTCTAACAGCACATTCGGCAGCAATGGCAAGTTCATGAGACTTGAGCAATATTTTAATTTCTTTTTTGCTTTAATGAATTGGCACCTACATCTAAAATATTAAATTATAGTTACCAACGATTCGTACGCATATTCTATTGGCTACGAATTCCAAAGAGCAAAAGGTTTTTTTAAATATTATATTTGATCAATTTTGCATTTGCAATGCCACGCTGTTGTTTACATTGAATTTGATAAATAATGATCCCAACTCAGGGTTCCTGGGACAGGTGAATTTTAACAGTAGTCCTACGAATTCTGTACTTGACTGTTAAAATCTTCATATTTTTTCTTGTCGTTATATCGTTTCTGCAATAGCATTACTTGTAAGCGTTTCTAAAGTTACAATCCATCTTGTAACATGAGAAGAGACAGGGGCCTAGGTTGCACTGATATCTTTATTTCTTATTGTAAGAAAATTATAGTAACTCTGAACCACTAAAGTTCATTTAAGGTGTAACTTTAGATATATTGTAATTTTAAGATGTACATAGAAAAAATATCTATCTATAATAACGAGGTTTTGTACTCGGTTGTAATGCTGTACAATATTTTTTTTTATTGGTTACTCAATGCTGCACTGATAACTCTTATGTATTTTATATTTTACAAGTTTTCCTTACGATTTGAATTTCATGTACTTTCATACTTTACCGCTTCACAAAAACAGTAAATCAAATGTTACAAGAAAACATTAGAGCACTGCATAGGTACTGTTTAAAAATGAAAAGTTAAATGCCCTGAGCATTACTATACGTACTGTGTATCCCAGGTCGTCGACCGGCCTTGCGCTGCGCAGGGCCGCTTGCCGCACTGCTATGACCCTCACTTCGTCTCTTTGTTCAAAGTCTCGTTTGCCACGTGAAAATAAACACCAATACTCTCCTCCAGCTTTTACCCGTTTACATACATTTAAGCTGTTAGACTGGAAGCTTCAAAGAACGATAGCTTAAACATATGTCTGTTCCTCCCTTTAAAACATAAACAAAACCGATGACAACGGTAATGGCGCGCCAAGAATATTGTGCAAGGTCGCGACCATGCGTTATTATTATTATTGCACAACTTCGCGAGACAGATCGGGATCCACTCTACGTGCATGTGCGTCATCAAGTGTAATTTTAACTCGCGGAAGGGCATCATTTAAATTTGAGCTTTCCACATTACGCACCGAGTGCCGCCGCTCGTGTCTGTTTCCGAGTGTTCCATTAGTTACAGTTCCCGGTGTGGTAATAAGCGGTGTGCCCACGCGCAATTTTCGGCGTCGTCTTGTCTGATAACCGCCAAGGGCTAAACTATTCTATATTTGAATAGAAAGCTCTTAATACAAATTGCCTTAAAGTGTGAAATATTGTTTTAGTACCTGATTAAGTTCAACGAGATCAAGACGAAGAAGGGCATCGAGCTTTTACAGCACTTAGTGGAGTATTATCACGCGCAGACGAACTATTTTCAAGACGGCTTAAAGACAATCAAACATTTCGGTGTGTACGTCGCCGATCTCAGTGTACAGCTACAGAAAATAAGACAACAACAGGACGACGAAAGGCGACGCCTATTAGAGCTGAGGAACATGTTGCGGGCTGCAGCGCCGCAGGACAGAGAGGTATATTTTTTACCTAGTTATCACAGAAGGAGTCTAATTGTACGAATTAACATGATATTGGAAGGCCTATTGAAAAATAAATATTTGTCAATGCTAATACGACTCCCAAGAAAATCATTTTTCGATAATCTATGATGTAACGGAGATAAAGCCTGACACTGTTTCTGATGTACAGAAAATCTTCACTGATATGATTTAAAAAAAATATAAGAACGATTCCGAATTTTTGATTTCGGAGAAATGAAATAGGCCTTAGGTGTCATATTAATTCGTACTAGTTATACTATTTCTCATTTTTGACTTTGATATTTTCCAATAGACACATTTAAAATTTTAGGTAGCGTCTACAATAGGCGGCTATTCGCTTCACCAGTTACAAGGCGACAAACAGCATGGCGTCACAAGAAGCGGCTACTTGCTCAAGAAATCTGAAGGGAAGGTTCGGCGGGTATGGCAAAAGCGCCGATGTCGGGTCACAGCGGAAGGATTTTTGGACATTTTCCATGCTGACGAAAACAAACCACCGGCGAGGGTTAACCTGCTCACTTGTCAGATTAAAGTGTCTGCTGATGATAAAAGAGCGTTCGATCTAGTTTCATGTAAGTCGACCTTTCATTTATTAATAACAATATATCGATTGTGAAAATTCGCAAATTTCAATTCTTCTAATCTAGTTCCTGTATCAGACACTAATCGAGAGTAAAATATTTTACAATAAATCTTTGCTAGGATTATTGTACCCACCCAGTACTTCAGTTACAATACATTGTTTATATCCACTGCTATATGAAATTTAGAAATTTGGTTTAAATTTTTCAACATAAACTTTAACTTATGATTTCAGATAACCGTACCTACCACTTTCAAGCTGAAGATGAGACTGAACAGCGTGCTTGGACCTCGGTGCTGGTGAATTGCAAAGAGGGCGCTTTAATGCGAGCATTCCACCAGCAGGCCGGCGAGAGTAATGACACCGGTCATTCTCTTTTGGATCTACAGCGGTCTATTATACGAGCTGTCAGAACATTGCCAGGAAACCAAGTGTGCGCAGACTGTGGTTCTAGCAACGGTAAGTACTTTACATTATCTTATGGCGCTACATCATCAAAAGGATAAAAACTCCTAAAAAATAACTAGAAAAAGATGGTGTCACTTTAGTCAATGACAGATGAGTTTATCCTAAACCGCTTCTCAAATTATATAAACAATTTCAATATTAAATCTCATAATAACACAGAAGAATTCTGCATTACAGACTATATAGAAAACTCAATATTAAAATACAATACTAAAAATGTCATTTATAATAATTTATAACGGATATATGACATTTGGAGTAGTTCGGTGGCATAGTGGATATGCGTCGCGTCTCGTGGTCGTTATTGTTTCTTCTTTCTCTTCTCTGCGGATTGCATTTCCACTCGTTAATACTCCTAAACCATCAATAAAGAAGGCCTGAGCCCCTGCAGTGGGGACGTAAAAGAACATCTGTGGTAACGTAATGCGCTGTCCTCTTAAATTTTATACAATGAAACTAAATTCTAAATAGCTTTTTCATATCGTTAATAAAATCAAAATTGTCATTTTTATCTACATATTAAATGAATTCAACAGTGTTAAAATAAAAAAAACCCTATATTTTTTCAGACCCCACCTGGTTATCAACGAATTTCGGCGTGATAGTTTGTATAGAATGTTCTGGAAGTCATAGAGAATTGGGCGTGCACATATCAAGGATACAGTCACTAACGTTGGATAGGCTTAGCACATCACAACTGCTTTTGGCGAGGCATATGGGCAATCAGATGTTTAACGAAGTTATGGAAAATACACTAGACGAAAGGGATAAACTTACTCCAGAAAGCACCATGTAAGTATTTAAGTACTCAATAATATGATTGGCAAAACCCTAGAAAACAAAGAAAAGCTTTCATCTTTATATTCAAATGTTATTGTAACTTAGTTTGTATGGATACTTGAATAAAAAATAATTCAGGGGTTCATTATCCATACAATCATTTATATGTGATATGATATGATGATAGTTTTTGACTCCATAGTCAAATTAGTTAGTTGATCGCTCGTTGCCTTTGTTAAGATTTAAATATAAAGGTAATATAAGTGGCTATTTATTAATCCAAAACATCACTAGACAGGCTTTAATCCACCTTGATGACTAGTGTGCATTTGTAGTTTAGAGGCAGATGATAATTTTCATTTATGAAAAAATAAAACTGACTTCAAACTTTAAAAAGTGATAAATAATACTTATCTTAAAAGCGCCTTATAATTATCTCACTGCTTATCCGTTTCATAATTAGACAACAGAAAATCTCCGCCCGACTTCAATAGCAATTGCTTGAATAATGAAATCGCTTGTAAGATGGTATTATTTCTTACTTTTTAAAGTTAGAATTCGGTTATATTTTATGATAATAAAATATTTCATGTTTTTAATGATATTGAATATTTTGCTGGAAATAGAAATTCCTCCATAAGGATTCTGAATGAATGCAAAATACGCTATCTTTTGTTTTGTCGCTGATATAAACATGTCTTAATATTTTTGTGATATTTACTGGAAGGCATATTTTGTTTTGTTATAAAAATAAAACTACCAATTCAATTTCGATAAAATTTATATGTGACCACATCGGGCCCATAAGCTGTCTAATAAAAAATAATCATTAATCATAAACCACGAAGTCTATCGCGAAGAAACATACAAAAAAACCTACTGTCGAATTGAGAAATGTCTTTTTTTTAAATAGATTAAAAAATAAGACAATAGCAATGAAAACGTGACATAATTATTGTTTTTACTCGTAAATTAGTATTACTAGTTTATCACTTGTTTTAGGGAGGAACGGTTGAGGTTTATCCGTGAGAAGTACGTGTATCGAGCGTGGGCGGCGCGTACATGTTGCGATGCGGCGGAGAGGTTGTCTGAAGTTGAGCACGCGGTCAACAACGGACATTTGCAGAACCTACTGCAGGCGTACGCTGAAGGGGCGGACTTGGCCGCTCCACTACCTTGCTCGGTACGTAACCATATTTTCATATATCGACGCTGGGAAGCAAACATGTATTAAGTATTAAGTAAGTAACCCAAAAAACCAAAATTGTTTTTCAGAGCAGAATAACTTTATTTTATCGAAAAATGTCTTACTTCCGTTAAATTGACTTAGGGTTACCATATTTGTTATCGTGGATATTCATGAGATTAATAAAAAGTTATTTTGCTCTGAAGAAAAGACAATTTTTGAAACTGGTTTAAAATGAAGTTTGTTCCTGCATGTTTTGGTATGAAAGTTCTATTTCGTTTTGCCAACATCTCGAATGCAGATATAACTCAAAGACTTGATTTAACTCGATTCGGCATTTTATTTATTTTATTATTTTTGAGAAGCTTACACAGTATTAATCACAATATAATTTCATCGATATTAATAATAATATAATTATATTTATGGAACATGATTAGTTCGTCCGTCGTGATTAATTTATCGTGTTTATTGGTAAATGACGGATCCCGCATGAATGAGCCCATACAGAAAGTAACAAACCCGTCTTTAAGTCACAATCACTTTATTCACTTGTATTGTCATAATCTCACCCATAGCATTCTTTTGAACTAGCTGAGAACTCAAATTTCGTTTCCGTTTGCGAACGTTTTGTTTTTGTGTTACTAATACCCTTTATGTAACAGGACAACCCTGCGCTTTCTATTTACAATAGAACAGTACTTTAATTAATTACGAGTTTATCTGTACATCAGGAAAAAATCCCGCTCGCCAGACTAGTCTGACCATATTTTTAATTAGGTGTAGTATTTGTGAAGGAAGGGTTTGTAGAGTTAGAATTTTGGCTCTACGAGATATGATAACTTTTTGACAGTGCGAATCATATGCTCTCGGGAAAATACTTTTTGGTCTGTTAGAGATTACCAATGAAACTATAGAGGCTAGCTTGGCTGGATTGTGCTTATACTTTGTAAGTTGTGTGCTTTAAATTAAAGCAGATTCCTTGGATGTTTAGTCATTCACTAAAACCACCGTTTTTCTTGGCCTCCGTCTATCTTCATCGACATAATAATGATTATCGCATATACTCTGTATAGGATTGTGGCGAAACAGCACTCCACCTAGCGATATCGCGGGAAATGGGCGACGGCTCAAGTCTGCACATAGTCGATTTTCTAGTCCAAAATGGCGGCAGTCAGCTGCTAGACAAACCCACCGCTAATGGTATGACGGCGTTACATCTGTGCGCGGCGACAGATCGCACTGAACCAATGAAATTGTTACTGAAAGCCGGCGCCGATATAACACTGAAGGACGGCAGCGGACGAACCGCGCTACAGATAGCGAAACAGTTGGGACATCACGCCTGCCAAGAACTGGTCAGTAGCTTAACTATTTAGTGCCTACTTCAATTTGAAATTAGTTTCATGTGCACTGCTAATAAATAAATACTCAATAGAGGAGCATAACATGTCTAGAGTAATTTTTTTTTGGTGGTTTGCGAGATTCATTGCCGTTTGTGGGAATGTATTTGTTTGCGAGAGTTGCATAGATATCTTGCAGATGATAATCCGTGAGTGCATAATATTTAAAAACTTATACTTTTAAAATACAAATAAAATAAATCACGTTATCAGCAAAGACTCAAAATGCTCGAAATTGTTCGAACTGATAGCCATATGAAAGATGACACATCTTTTTTTTTCATTTGAAAAAAAGATGTTTTATCCATTCGAGCTTGGTTTATTTGAAGTACGAGGGTCAAACTGAAAGTTCTTAGAACTGGCCACTTATAAACAATATAATAAAAAAATAATTCTAAAATTTGAAAATATAACTCTTTGCCAATATTACTGAGTATATATTTCATTCATTTGTCATTTGTTTTACGATTTGGCGGCAAATTGAAAATTGTCTGTGTCACGTCATCATGAATTTAACACGAGAAAATTTTCGTGCAATGATTTTTTATGACTTTCGATGTCATTTAAGTCAACAAGAAAGTTATGATAGACTACGATTGGCCTTTCACGATGAAGCCCCATCTCATGCGACTGTTTACAACTGGTTTAATGAGTTTAAACGTGGTCGCACTAATCTCACTGATGATTTACGTGAGGGACGGCCTTCTACGGCGACGACTGAAGATAACATCTGTGTTGTGCGGCGTATGATAGAGACTGACAAAAGAGTGACCTATCAACAGATTCGGACAAGCTTAGGCATCGGTATGAGTCAAGTGCACAAAATCCTCCACGAACATTTAGCGGTCAGGAAGCTTTGCGCCCGGTGGATACCTCATAATTTGACTGAGGCTCAAAAACTCCATCGTGTGGATTGGTGTCGTAAAATGATTGAAAGATTTAACGGAGGTGACTCAAATGCTGTGTTCGACATACTAACAGGTGACGAAAGCTGGATTTACTGTTATGATCCTAAAACCAAAAGACAATCTGCTCAGTGGGTGTTTCCTTTCGAGGAGTTGCCAACTAAAGTGAAGAGAGATCGAAGTGCGGGAAATAAAATGGTGGCCTCGTTCTTTGGAAGGATAGGTCATTTTGCAACAATTGTGTTAGAGGATCAAAAAACAGTTTCTGCAGAATGGTACACTACCAATTGTTTGCCACTTGTCTTGGAAAAAGTTCGAGAGAAACGACCTCGCAGTAGGATCCTCCTTCACCACGACAACGCCTCGTCGCACACCGCCAAGCGAACGATCGACTATTTGGCGACATCAAACGTTGAATTACTGGGTCACCCGCCGTGTAGCCCCGACCTCGCGCCTTGTGATTTTTATTTATTTCCAAAAATTAAAGAAAAACTTAAAGGAAAGCGGTTTATGAATGCTGAAGAAGCGGTGGCTGCGTATCGCGATGCCATTGAAGAGACCCCTAAGGACGAGTGGGCAAAGTGCTTTTCCCAGTGGTTCCATCGCATGCAGCGGTGTATTGACGTGAATGGACAATATTTTGAAAAGATATAATAAAACTAATAACTGGCTAATGTAATCAGTTTTTGATTTTCTAAGAACTTTCAGTTTGACCCTCGTATTATTTGTCAACTCGCGGATTATTGCTATATAGTAGTTTTACAATTTAAACTTGACTTTTTGCAGTTGGAGAATGTAGACAAAAGAGAAAAGAGTATGTTCGAAAACATAAATATAGACTGGAATTTATCTCACGACGACGGCTCCACAGATTTCTCGGATGACGACACCGTTATTGACGAAAGGGTAAGCCTGAATTTATACATATACTTGATAAATTTGTTTTTAAATATAATTATTGATTTATTTTACTAATCGTTGATTATGTTTATTCTATACTAATATATATAAAGATGAACCTATGATTGTTTGCAATGAATAGGCTCTGAAACTACTGGACCGATTTTTTAAATGCTTTCACCTATTGTAAGCTACATCGCATGCGAATAATATTGGTTATAATTTACGCGAGCGAAGTAACGAGAAACAGGTAGTGTAAAATATTCAAGTAGTATTTTACAACGATATAATATCAAATGGAACATTACTAGATATTGATTGCCCGCGTAAATTATAATATATACATATAACCTATGTCACTAATGTATGACGAAGTTTCACGTAAGTGGAAGAATTTTTAAAATATAACCAGGAGCTTCGGTGCCTAATGCCAACTAACAAACAAACAATGAAATATTTCATGTTTATAATATTACTATAAATGAATGCAGAATTTATCAAAAATAATAACCTTTCACTCTTTTATTGTTTGTATTAAAGTTTTCGATTTAAACATGTTATTGATTTCTAAATACAAACGCGATGAAAGTTGTTTCATTTATTAAATAGGGTAGTTTATTTAAGTCACGAAATTTTAGTAACTGATTTTGAGTCTTAAAATAGCACGATTATCTCAAAATTGAAAAGTCGTAATTTTTTGTCTATAAGTCACGTGACTTAAACACGTGGCAGATTAGTCATAAAGATATGTTTAATTATTATAAATTAAATTCCAAGATGTCGTTGTTCTTAACTTATTTATCTTTTTATTTCGAAATAGATGGTGTGATGGCATTGTTCTTGTTTTATTGTCATCTTTTAATCTTTTGCTCTATTCATATGTTTTGTGTACAAATCATAATTACGTCATGAATATGTCGAACAGCGTTTTTGCGGGTACAAAAATAGTTTAAATTTTCATTTAATTTTAAAGCAAGGAAACGTGTTTATCTTCCGAAATATTTGTTATATGGCTATTTTAAATTAAAATAAACAGTTACAAATATTATTTCAAACAGAAAAGAATACCCTTTTAATATGTCAGCGAATTAATTACATATATAAATATTTTATCTTTACCGTAATGTTGTTTGTAGCAAAATGGCAGTGTCACTCCGGAGAAGAAATGTCCTAGATCGAGGCCGCCCTCGTACGCGGGGGGCGCGTGCTCTGTACCGAGCGGTGGCGACTCGCCAGTGTTACGTTCGCGCTCGTCAACGTGCGACTCGTTACAACACGCCCCGCCCACACCCACCACGCTGCCTAGGAAGCCGGCTGTTTGTGAGTACTCGTTTAAAAACTCTTTTCAATGCAGTTGCTCATAAAGCGCTAAACACCGAAAGTGAGTCTTTAAACACGTGTTAAATAAAAATGTACTGAAATCCTTTACTGCACACGTGCTTAAAAGTATTTTTTAATTTTTTTTTTTAGGCCGAGCACCAAATAAATTAAAAAAAAAATTATGAAAATATGTCAAACTTTAGAGGCAAAAGTATTTCAAGGAGCCTAGAACGAATATTTTTATTTGAAAAATGTATGACACGAAAACATGTTCAAATATCACGTTTAATTATAACAAATAATGTTTACCTTTATTACATACTTAGATTTATTAACCTATATTTTTTTTAATTTCCTCGCAAAAAGCATTGAAAAATGTCGTAAGAAACTTGAGCGTAAAAGGTTTTTCAATGCAGTTGCTCATAAAGCGCTATTTTTTTAATCCATTGTAAACACCGAAAGTGAGTCTTTAAACACGTGTTAAATAAAAATGTACTGAAATTCTTTACTGCACACGTGCTTAAAAGTATTTTTTTTTTGACCGAGCACCAAAGAGATTTAAAAAAAATTGATGAAAATATGTCAAACTTTAGAGGCAAAAGTATTTCAAGGAGCCTAGAACGAATATTTTCAAATAAAAATTTATGACACGAAAACATGTTCAAATATCACGTTTTATTGTAACAAATAATTTTTACCTTTAATTCATACTTAGTTTTATTAACCTATATATTTGTTTTATTTCATCGCCAAAAGCATTGAAAAATGTTGTAAGAAACTTGAGCGTAAAAGGTTTTTCGAATTCGTGCCAATGAAACACAGAACACGGAAAAGAGGTTATAAAGGCGATCATGTATCCTTTGTACGAAAACCGATGTAGCCAGTCTTGCCCCACTTTTAGTCCGCCGTACATCAGACGAATAATCAGACCAATTATACAAAAGATATGCATACACTTGCATTTTAAACATGCTAATCAGAACGCTCCAATATAACTATAACCAATCACGCTCAACTATAACAGACATCTATAGTGAGCAATAAACGTGTAAAAGCCATTTTAATTTGACATATCACACTAGTGATTGACATAAAGTTATTTACTATCGATATTGAAAAAAAAAAACAAGTCGATTAATAGAAAATGATTTCTTTATATTATTTTGGATATACATTGAATTGTATTGATTAAATGAGACATTATCTTTTTTCTTTAGATATAAATTCTTAATTAGTTGGTTGATTCAATAAGAAATATTTAAATTACTAATAAACTAACATTGAATCGGTACTAGTCGAGCTTAAATATTTATATGCATATAAGTATGTTTGTTTATTAATAATAATAGTTGGTATTTTTTTTTACGTTACGTTACTCGATTTCGTATTAAGTAAACAGATAAGATCGGCAACATCGCTTAAATGAAACTAGTAATATTGACAAACAATATAATGTAAATAAATATATACAAAATAAAAAAATACTATCAGTACAATAAATGCTATTGGAACTTATCCTGAACAGACTCCGAAGATTTAAAAAGTATTGTTGTTAATGGTTCAAAATAAAAAATAAAAAAAAACTACTTTTCTGTTACAATATTAAGAATATAAAAACAGACTTATTACCACACTAATTATTAAATTAATATACAAACGAAGTCAATATGGTTAATCTCTGATTAAATTTATTTTTTATTACCACTATTTTTATTGTCTATACTTTTATTTAGTCTTTACTACCTAACATACCAAGAATCGATTAAATGTTTCCAGGCACTTCACTAGCCATCTACCGTAATCTATTATGTTGCTATTTAATACGGTAATTTCGCGATATTCATTACATTACGTGCTTAGTACGACGCAATGTAATAAATATGCGTACTTCTCCAGCAATGTATATTTTCTTGGAAATATTTTTTGTGATTCACACTTTTGATAACATTTTACGATTTTCGACTAAAAATACTAAATTTGAGAAGTGTTCTACTTAATAACGGAAAATAACCCTTCTTTTGGACCTACTTGAGGATGGTCTTCTTGTTTTGCAATGAATAACTGCGCAAGTCGGCATTTTTAACACTTTTAGTGGCGTGTTTCACAATACTTACAGCGCGCGCGTTCGTGAATGACTAAACATCGCGATCGCGTGGTGAAGTCACGATCCCGTACATTTGTCCAGGGTCGTGGCTACACTGCCACGCCCACAAGGCCCTTCTAACGTCTTTCTGTGTTCTGTGCAATGAAACAACACGCCCCGACCACACCCACCAAGCTGCTTAGGAAGGCTGTTTGAACTAAAGCTGTTTATGAGTAATCGTTGTACCCCGTTAGTACACCGACGCAATTGCATGAAATGCGAAACATCTGCGAAACAGTGTTATCATTGTAGTATGTGAATATAATAATAATAATATTTTTTATTGGAACTTTACACGTTACATGTGATATCGTGTACGAAACCAGCCGCTTTAGTTTAAAAACTGCGTTGCAGCCATTGCGTAACGCACACACTCATCTCTTCCTAGTATATAAACCTTGTGTTCTTTCACTAAAAGCTCTTAAATCGCAGTCAGTTCGTCTTCTTTAATACACCGAAACGACACATTTTGAGAAATAAAATTTGAATATCCACATTTCCGGGATCCCGCATATTGAAATAACTATTCGTACGAATTAACATAATACCTGAATATTCTATTCTTTTCCTCAGAAAAGGAAATTTCTTCTATTTTTAAAATTTCGGTATTTATTAATGTTGCAGCGGTTGTAGGGCCTGACATTGCCTCTGTTACACTATTCATATGATTTTAACAAAATTATAAGAACAATCCGAAACTTTCCGAGTTTTCGTTGGAAAACAAATATAATAGGCAACCAAATATCAAGTTAATTCGTACGAGTTATATTAATAATCATATTAGGTTTTGTTCAAATTTATTAGTCGGTTCCAAAACGGACTAGTTCGCTCTTGTAGTTCGTTAATGCGTTTAGATTCCTAGCTCTTTGCAGCAAGAGTAGTTTTAAAACGAGGGAATGATAATTGTCATTTCGTTCGCTCGTTTTGATATTGCTCCTTCCTATTGTGACAAGATTATTGAATGTTGTACATCAAATTTTTAACTAAACACATGGACTAATATTCATATATTTTAAATGTAAATAACTAGGTTTATTGTTTAGGCAGTGAATAATATACCTTGTGTTTTCCGCCTTTATATTTTTAACGAGACGACATTAGTTCGGTCGACTTCACATTTACTCATTCTGTCACGAACTAACGAACTACAGAACGTGAAGTGCGGAAACTAGTTCGCGTAGTTCGTCTGTGGGAGCTGGTTCTTCGATCCAGTTCGTTCGCGAATTACACAAGACTAAAGTTTATCAAGTTCGGCGGCACTGTTAAGATCAAACACGTGTTTAACTGTTCTCATTATATCAACTCTTTGTAGTTAGTCATTGTATCGTGGCGGGCTATTGTCATTCATTGAACAACTGTAGCCTCTTATTGGGCCATTGAATCGTGCCATTTATCGGTTCACGGCTGACGTCTTGTCGCAACAACGACATACTATTTGCCGTGTGTAATTTAAATACTAGAATAAAATAAAACTATTTATATTTGACTTACCTCTGTTTACTTTGTATCACAGATAATATTGGTAGTTTGAAGAAACGTACCGCCCCGTTACCGCCGGCCGTAGCGTTGTCACACCCACCGCCCCATCCGAGGTCAACGCCCTCGCCCTCAGCTGACAGTGCACGATTGTTACACGGTAACGTGGATCACTAATAATACATGTATATATTCATCAGCTTATTAATAGCCCCATTGCTGGGGTACAGCTCTTCCTTGTTGATGAAATGTGTATTGGCAGGACTGTTGGGTATTAATGACTTGTAGCTGGAAGTACTGCGCAATACGGGTGTAGACAGTAAACGAAAAGAAATACATATTATTTTTTCCGAGTAGTGTTTAATTTTCTATTACCGATAATCACACTTTTATGCTCATTATATTTGTAATAGTGTAGTAAAATAATGACAAAATATATCACTATAACATATCGACGCTGGAAAGCAAACACGTAGTAACCTGCAAAACCAAAATGGATATTTATAATGGAAAATCTTTAGATTTTTCCAAAAAAATATGTCTTATTTCTGTATGAATTGACTAAGGAACACCTTATTTGTTACCATGGACGTTATAGGAATTATTTATCGAAAAAAAACAAAGTTTTTCTGCTTTGAAGATCAATTTTGGTTTTGCGGGTTACTACGTGTTTGCTTTCCAGCGTCGATATGTATACAATACTAATATGGCGATTTGTATAGGAAGTGGAACAGTGGGTAAACATCGCCCCCAACAACCGCCCCCTACGCCCCCGCCCGTGACCACGTTACATAACGGCGCCCACCGCGACGAACCCACGCCCCCACCTAGGAAGGTAAAAATACTTTATTCATACTTTACATGCAACATTATCTTTGTCAACATCTAGTTCGTTCGCGAATTACACGATATTGAATTTTATCGATAAGCATATTTTTATATCGACTTCATTGAAAAAAGTATAATTTACAATACTGACCTATTTTCTTTAGCTCAAAAACAATACAAATTGCGGTGGCATTCTTAAATGATAATACTTCTATTGAGTTGAGGTTGAAATCATTTAATGGCCATCGTTTTACTGCATAGAAACATCCAAATTTAAAAAATGTTATGGACGTTGTCTGACGACTCTGCTGTTATTAGAAATTGACATTATAGTGACAAAAGTGGTTTGTTAATTTGTATAACTGTACTAAAGTATATTGATAAAATGTTGGGAAATTATTTTATCTTTGTATTTATAATGGTGTATTATATATTGATCGTTACTATTATTTATGAAATGTAAGCAGCAGAACTTTTATATTTATACATAGATACAATTGGTATTTGAAAGAAAAAGACTAAAAACATTTTTCATATTGTCTAAAATACAGTCTAAACACACCGCAAATGGAAATATTGACAATCTTATACTTAACAATTACTAGGATTACAGATATTGTTCTCGCAATACGTTATATTGATACTATATTGTGTTTTGTTGGTTAGGGTATTTTGAAATTGCTTTACAATAATGCTCAATAAGTACAAAAAGATTACCGGGTGCACTGGATATTTATCATAGGTGAAGGAGATTATTACAAATAATTTGTTGATTGTAATATTAACTGTAGATGTAGCGCAAAGCGGTCTTTGTTTTGTTATTCATTTATCACAGTTACAATTCATTTTTATATCATTAAACAATGGGTTCAGTTGTATAACATGTTAAAACTATGGTTAGTTGAGCCTAACATTTTGTCCAAGAACTAGAAGTAAATTTGAATGAAAAAATGAGTTACAAGCGTTTGGATAAATTAAAAAATACATCATACATGCTGGTTTTACCTTACAGAGTAATACCAATATCAATTTCTATCACAAAGTCTGACTTTATAAAATTTTGCATTTTATTATTAACCACAAAAAAGAACTTACTTCATTATCATACAAATAAATTGCTACTAACTAAGCCAAAGTACAAGATTGTATTTGTTTTGCTTCAGAAGAAAAATAGATTGCATCTGGAAAAGGGCATCAAAGCGAAACTCAGAAGGGTAAAGAGAGAGCGATACTAGAGTAACTTTCATGCTTCCCCTTGTTTGGTTTACGTGCCGAATTAATATTATGTTTTGTCCCTAAAACTCGCAACATCTCAAGTCAAGAGAGCAAATTTTTAAATTAACCATAGCTTATAGCTAAATGTTACAAAACGCTATTGAACAACTGCAGTGTTTTCTGCTTTATATTATTATACAATAGTTATTTTAAGACACAATTTAGATGACACGTATTGGCAAAATTCTCTTGACATAGTTAATTTTTTCATGAAATATGCATTGTTTATTCTCTATGCATAGTTCATGGACAGCTGATTCTATTTTGCATGTATTTTTATAATAGCTTTTAGCTTGTGTTTTAATAAATTATTCGGATTCTCGTGATAGCACCTCCTTTTGTATTTTAGATTTTTATTATTTAATTCCACGAAAATTAAACACATTCATTATTAACACACATTTTTTGATGTGTGGATAACAAATTATTTAAAAAACACGAAATTTTCGTGTTGGCTATGATTCATCTATAATGCCAAATGTAAAACGGAGATTTTGTTTCATAGTTTTATTAAAAATTGTTAACAGCATGAAAAACAATATAACGGAGCTTTTACTTATTAGATAACTAGATTTCTTAGATCCTATAGGGCCGATTTACTTTTGCCATAATTTTATTATAATTTGTTATTTTTACCCTTCCTAGTCATACTTCTACTATTTGTGGCAGTTGGACACTAAAAAGTTTCATAAAAAAGAAAATGTCAAATTAATGTGTAATTTTTTTCAATTATTAATAATACTTCAGAATTCCCCAGTTATTTTAAAGCTTTTGCGAATAATTTGATTACAATCTTATGGTGTAGACGGCCCTTAGATTTGGAAATCGCTATTTTTTACCTGCCCTTATAATGTGTGATATATATTTCAGGAGTGTTCTAGTCAAGATTCGTCGTTGGAGCTGTGCGATATATCGGACTCGTGTTTAGATGACAGCCGGTTGCAATCAGCATTGTCCGACAGTTCACGATCAAGAGACCGCTCGCGACGCAGCGATAGTCGCTCGCTGGACGTGTCTGATACGTCCAGTGTACATTCGCGTTCGCCGTCAGCATCTATTACTATGGTAATTACCATACACAATAGGGTCAAAAAAATCTGCTTAGTCCATCAGTCAGATATTAGAAATATATTTGATTAATTGATTACGCAAAAAATAAAAAATAATAATAACAGCAATGATATATTTTTTGGTAAAATAACAATTACCACAATTTCTAATTTAAATTCGAAAAATATTAAATACCTACTAACCTACTTATTATCTCTATATTATTATTTTAAGGCGGAAAAATTTGATTCTTGTTTTGCAAGGCTACTGGACAGATTTTAAAAATACGGGAAACTACATCATATGCGGTAAACTATATTTTATCCAGAAAATAGCAAATAAAGGGATGAAAACTGTATAGGGAATCAAAACCTCACCACAGTAACTATTGTTTACTTTTCAATTTGTCATTGTAATTATGTCCGTGTTATGTTATAAAGATATCATGGATGATGATACGGATATAAAGCTGCAAATAAGCAGTTCCCCGGCGAACTAACGCGGTCGATGCCGCTGGCGGAAAGCTAGTTATTATTATGCTCTCTTTTACTTGTCTCTTTGTTAATCTGCAAATGACGTTTTTTAAAAAATTACATGTGCCGGTGCTGCAACATGGTGACAGGAATTTGCAGTAATAACGTACCCGAGATCTAGCGGTACTGGTGAATTTCTCAAGTACGATTTCTCTTTGACAGATGGGCGGCTTAAGGCGATGCCGTGCCCTCTACGACTGTTCAGCGGATAATGAAGACGAGCTATCGTTCCGCGAGGGCGAAGTGATCGTTGTGATCAACGAGCGTACAGAAGACGACAACTGGATGGAAGGTCAGGTGGAGGGCACTTCGCGGCGCGGTATGTTCCCCGTCTCTTTCGTGCACATGTTGCCAGACTAGGACAGCGATGCACTGGACCGCGAAGGTGTTGAACGACTTCAGCTTTGTTTGAAAGAAACGTCTGTAATATAAACAGCACTATAATTGTAGAGATGCTCAGGAAAATCATCACTGTTATAGTATTTTCATTGGGCATGAACTTTAATCTCATCGTATGAAACATCAAATGGATCAGAAAATTCTAGATGTATAGGGCGTTTCTTTGGGCGGTCGTGATGATCGGTATGATTGCTATTTTGTATTCAACAATAGAATCGACACCAATCGGCAAGAAATTTAATATCAACAGTGTTATACAAAACTGTATATGTATTCAGGTTATACAAAACTGAAAAATTCTTAAATCAATATTAAATTTTAATGTAAATTAAGTGCATTATTGATTATGGATTGATGTACTGTTGTAACCTGATGTGTTACTGTGTATAGTACTGTTGCATTAAAATAATGTATCAATTGAACAGTTTGACACGGTTATTATTTTAATTAATACACGGTACTAATGTAATTGCAGATGACTGCAGAAAATGAAATTGTTTTTTGGCCTAAGCTTTCGGCTTTTAATCGGAGGTCAAGAGCTTATTTAAGTATAGTATTTGATAACTTTGTTCAGTATACAATATTAATAAACTGTATTAAATATGATTCCCTTCATAGGGGAACATTGGACCACACACAAATGAAAAAATAATTCGCTGATATGTTTGTTTATAAAGATCATTGCCGTCTGAGGTGCATGGCTTATATTTAAATATTTTTAGTGTATTACCGTTGAATGTGATATTTGTAAATACACGGCTATTATGACTTTCATTTTTTTTGTATACAGGAAATTTTAATACTCATAAATTTTGACCATTCCATTTTTTTATAAACATCATTCGGGGCATATACGCAAATGTTGATAGTTAGGTGTGTTTACACTCCGCATGACTAGTTTTATAATGGCGAGTTAACAAATTGTTTATTGTAATTACAGATGTGGTACTGCTACGAATTTATGACACCAATTGTAATATTGTGCCGGTAGTTAATCCGTCCCGTGTCGCGGATTTTTACATTCAAATTTGAACTTTATAGTCATTCGCTTAGATATGCTTCTATAGAGAAATGCTCATATTAGAATGGTAGAAATAAACTTTTTAAATTAAAAGAATATCAAATATTGTGCCGGTCAACTACATCGGTCGGAATATGAATAGCGAGTCTTATTTTAATAACGAATAATTAAGATTTATCTGTATAAATCTGTTAATATTTTCTCGAAGTAATCGAGTTAATGCCGAGGTAGTCGTTTCTTCAACGAAAAACTAAAGTTAAATAAGAATCTTCTTGTCTAATTGTTCGAATTTCAAATAGATGTAGTCAGATGTTAGGTTAGGTGAACTGTTTGAATTCAAAGTACCTATGCAGTAGAGTGTTAAAGATCCTAGTATGTTGGTAGATTATGTTTCTCCGTATTAAAATTAGATATCATATAACCAATTTCATATTACGTCACTGTTCATAATCTATTAGCTTTGAATTTCATTACATTGCCATGTGTACGTACACGCGTCAGATTACTTCGACATATAAAACCTATCCAGTTGATTATAAAGTGTACGATCGAAGTCTTAAGGTTTAAAATCAAGCGGATAAATTTGTTTGATTTGTATAACTTGGCGTGCCGTTTACTGGACTTACATAAATAACATAAAATATGTTTTGCAAACTATAAGTAACTTAATTACTCTTTTTATTCTATTAAATTCGTATATAGATCACCTATTCATTAAATCTGTTTATTGTTCTTGTTATTGGAAGTAGAAGAATCGTAATTTATTTGCCTTTATTTTCATTTTGTATGACTGCACAACCAAAGCTTTACTCTTCTTAAGAATGTGTAAAACTGTTTTGTGTAATATATTATGTATTAGTGTTTAAGCTCTGTAATCAATGCTTACAATGTATTAAAACAAAATTACATGTTGAATCATGAATATCTCAATCTTAAACAGAACCTAATAGGTAAGGTTCGTGTAGGAAAGCTGTAATGTTTACCGATTGGCTGTCTTCTCCGTACAAAGAGTTTGATCACGTTAAGGCCATAAATGTAAATTATAATGTATATGTCAGATAAAATAGCAATTTGCCAAAAATATATGTGATCAGTAGTAGAAGAGATGATAATATTATATTAGCGACAAATTAATCGGACCAGTGGCTGTTTGTTGTCTAGTTTGTTCTCGTAGTCGATATTGAGGTGTCTTAGATTGTTGGTGCATGCTGTCTATAGAGGTTATAATTTTTAGAGTCAGTTAACGGGTCGAAACTGCAAATATGATTAGAAATCGTTTTATAACTACTAAAAACAGTACTTAACGATTTTGAAAGATTTTGAAGTTACTAATGACGTATTTCATTTCTAGTTCCTTCTTTATGGACCAAAGAGTAAATTACAAGATACAACGGAATTAGGAATCGTCGGCTAGTTAACTCACTCTGAAAAACGGAACTTTGTAATCTTGTTAATGCCTGTTAAAATTTAACAATCTCCAAGTTTGTTAGGCGGATATGAGTAGTGTTGTAATCTATACAATACTTGTAATCTATACTGTATCGATTAGTGGCCTAATTGTCTTATTTTAAAATCTATTACAATCCCTTTGAAAGTTATAGTGGTTGTGATAGCAATTTATTGAGTCACGTAACGTTTAAAGTAGCAATAGCTTTCGGAACGAATGAAGATTTGAATGATCGAGAAACAATAAAAACTTAATGTAATAAGTTAAAGTAATATTTGCATCTATCGCTTTCCTTAGGCAATTCGACTTAACGTCAAATTAACGATATATTTCGTTCAATATCTTCAAAAAACGTAGCGGGTGCAATCTCTATCAGCCCTGCGATTCTGTAAAACTTCAAACCCGAATTCGAATCCACTCGGGTGTCCGAATTCATTTCAAAAAGCGGCATCTGCTCAAACTTGAATTGGTAATAACGTTTCATGGTATAAGTGAAGTGATTTTTGAAATGATATTGGATAAAAATATCTAAGACACGTTTAATCAATCAATTTTGTTTAGTATTTTCATACAAAAAATGGAATCAGTAGGATTTCTGTACTAAATGGCTTGAATTCGGACACATGAGTGAATTCGAATTCGGGTCTGGATTTTTACAGAATCGCAGGGCTGATGTCGAAAAGTTGTTGCGTGACTTTCGTGAATATCTTTCAAATATCAAATTAAAACGGATTGCGGTAGATTAAAATTAGACTTCTAGGCCCCAAGTTGAACAATTAATCAGTGGCGGAACAGAGGACTATCTTTGATCCATTTTCTACTTAGAGGCCTCATAATGTAAACATTTTTTCGCTTGTAAATTTGCGAAAGGGGTGATGACAGATAGGGGCAAAATGTAACTGGATTAATTATATTTTTATTTTATAGAATAATGCTTAAAGAATCCACCAGTTCCCGGTGTCCCAGATGAGGATCGAAATGAATCCTCTAGCCTGGGGCTGATGACTTTTTTTAAGAAAATATTTTAATTTATACGCCCTTGGAAAACGTGTCCGCCACTGTCAATAATTTTGACTTATTTTTTAAAGTTTTGTATATATTTTAGAGAACTCAATCTTCACATTCCCGTTTTATTATATAAGTTTTCTGTATATTCGTTTATTTAATACCCCGTTACTCAATAAGCTGTTAATGTGTATTAACTATAAAGTTACCTATATAAGAGTGCGTTGCCATAGTTAGAGTTAGTTATGGATGATTAAACTATTGCTCACGTAAAATATTCACTTATACTTTGCTCTTGTTACTATATGTAAATTCTTATAACGTTGTATAACTAAAAAGCATAGCTTCCCGTTTAAATAGTTTGATTTTGAATTTTGGTATAACGATAAAACTGCCGCTGTGTTTGATTGCTGGATTGCCATGAAATAGTAGCTAATGTAGTGTTACTAAACTACATATGTAAATAGTTTTAACGGAGGTGTAGTAAAACCTTAATTTATTATTATTTCGAAATGTTGTTTAGAAAAGTTTAAATACTTTGTATTTTTACTTTTCTGAAGTAATATTCGAATGGAAAAAAAGTATTTATTAAATAATATATTGTGGAAATCTAATTGTGATGAAATATTTTAATGCCATTTTAGCCTGTCAGTATGTTACTTATAAAAAGTTATGTAACCAAATGATGCTAATAGTGTGTAAGATGTTTTATTATTCTTTATGAAGTTGTAGTTGATATAGTTTTTTCTAATGTGTATTGTATGTGAATGAAAATCTGTATGAATTTATTAATACATCACTTTGATGTCTATTTTGAATTTTATTTTGTTTTTAATAACATCTAATTAACTTATGACGAAGGTCCGTATAATATTTGGCGTATCATTTTTTTATTATAGCTCCCCAAATTAACAGAAACAGCCACTTTAAGTCTCCCGTATCTCAAAAGGAAAAGAAACACTTAGGATACCCATGTATAATTGTAATCTTACGCTTTTTTCAAGAACTGAAATTGAAAGCCCGTAATCACTTGAAGCTTTATCTGAAACTCAATAAAAACCTACGTCAGTTTATGTTAAATATTTTGACACTTGAATCAAAATTAATCATTAAGGTAAATTGTTCAGTTGACAGAATCAGACAGTAGGATCAAGTAGAACAAGTAAAAAATCCATTTGAAAATAAAAATAATGATATTATAGTATAACTTACTTATCTGGTGTTGGTAACATGCTCCCAGCTGCATCTATAGTCGTCAATAGATAATTTGCATGGGCCCCCGTGGTGGGCCATGATTTTTCTTCCTACTTGATTCGATTTTATCCATAGGAGGTCTGTGTTCGAAACAACTGAATTTTGAGTCGATAAACTTTAACTTTTTGAGTTTTAATTTTTTTTTATGAAATCCCAGAGATGTCCCGAAATATAGAGTCTCGGATCCTGAGTAAAAAAAGATTAGTATTGAACAAAAAACGTAAATTAACTTTTTACAAATAACATTATCTCAGTTAAAGCTATATTGCTGTATATCCATTGGCTATTATTAAAAAAAATAAAAGAAAAATGACAACTCAGCTGACATTCATTATCAGTCAGTGATACGATTCAAGTTAAGTCGAGTTAAAAATAATCGATTGACCTTAAATACACACAAACGTCAACAGTGGTTTCGAAGGTCTTTTTTTAATCAACTTCACATATTTTTAAATCACATATTTTTGTCGTTACTAAGAGTAGGTTTAATGCTACATAAGAGTGCACTATTGTAGGGAAAATAAACAAAAAAAAAATCAGGGTAGAATAAACGCTTCAGGGAGTAAGTGACGTTAAATAAATCGAACGCTTTATCAAGAAAAGGAAAAAATAGATCTGTTATTTTTTCTTAAATGCCTTATAGAAGTCTCTTTTGATTTGAGGTGTCAGCTCTTATTCAAATAATAACATTTGGGTATTAGAAAGTGGTATGACTGGCAGAATTGTACTATCCATATCCATTTGACTAAGATACTGCGCAAAATAATAGGCAGATCTTTATTCAAATATTGTTTCTAAATGTCAAAAGTAAATCGTCATTGTAAACACTGTATTTAAATAAATACTTTTTTAAATAGATAATATATCTGAGAATATGATAAAAAAATCTCGAATTTAATTCGTTTAGTATTGTTAACAATAGAAGTGAAAATGTACAAAGGGCCGGTGGCGAGAATTGTATGAACGTACCACACGAGAAGGGGTGGGTACGCAAAACCCGCTGCACACCAAAGGTCAAAAAAAGGTGTTTATTTTTATGAAATATTTGTTTTATGGCTTTTTTAATTAAAAAAAACAGTTACAAGTATTATTTCAAACATAGTAAAATACCCTATAGCTTAGATCATAACGTTAGATCTAGACAAAATTGAAAAGTTCATCGTCTACATTGCCCGAACAGGGATTAATCCCCTACCTCAGATATAACGGCAAAACCTTGTACCGGTGGGCGTATATTTCGGACATAGATACACAATATATTCTAACTGTAATCGAGTCAATTCGAGTCAGGCTACATACATGTCATGATTGACTGTCAAAGTGACAGTACAGCATCCTTCAGTTTTAGATCTAATGTTTTGTTTTGAATTTGTGTTTGTTGTGTTGCTTGATCTTTCGCTTAACCTTTGATTGTCATAGTTTCTTTCTTCGTAATATGTCGTTGCTCACACAATTCCTCAAATCAGTCCAGTACATAAATAGTTTGTGTGTAAGAGAGTGATGCGCCAATCATCATAATTTGTATAGTTTGTCAACGCAAAGATTACCGCACTTTGTACTAAACTAGTAAAATAAATTGATAAGAAGATAAGGCGTAAGATTAGAAGTAATAAGTGTAAATGAAATAAATAACAGCAAAACGTTAATCTATTGAATACTCTCCACGTTCAGTATGGCGTCAAGGAATAGAATATTTGATTTGTTGCGCACTATAAATGTAGCATCGTAAGTATTACATTTTTAATGTGTCCAACTAATTGCAACTAATACGTGTTAAATATTATAAACAAGCGAAAACTCTGTTGTTTCTGTCAATTTAGTTTTAGTTTGAGTTTATGTTAAGAGACATTGAAAAAAGACTTTTATGTTAAGATCGAAAAATAAGTGATTTACGAATAAAAATTTACCTGTTAAGGTATCATTACCCAAATAAGTATTTTTTATTATCATTCATTTCATGTGTTTACATTTAGTTATTTAAAAATTTATTTTAGATGTCAATGTCCAGCCCATGGATACAGAGGTAATGTTCATGTGACAAGTGCTACACCAGTAAAAGATTATGCATTTGAAGTAAGTTCATTACATTGACATTATATATATATTTTCTTAAATGCTCTTAATTAAGTGTTAAAAATCTGAAACAACAAGGTACAATAACACCAACTCTAACAATGTTTTAAAAACTGTAGAGCATTGTTTCTTGATCTTGTCTTGTAGTCAATATTGGGATATGTAAGAAATTTTGAGCCTTTAACATTCTGACTCTGAATGTATTGTCTTATCTTTAAGAAACCCTTGTTTTTATGAATATCACCTTGAGAAGTTAGTAAAATAAACATACAGATATGATATAAAGGTAGAAATTCTTCAATAGAAAAAATATTTATCATTTATTACCATTTTTTCAGATGAAAAATTCAACAATAAGGTATGGCTTGGGAGTTACCAGGGAAATTGGAATGGATTTAGTCAATTTTGGCGCAAAAAATGTATGTGTCATGACAGACTCTAACCTTGTATCCTTGAGTCCTATTAAATCAGTACTAGAATCTCTAACTAAGAATGGCATAAATTACCAAGTATATGATAAAGTACATGTTGAGCCTACTGATACAAGGTAAGTTTGAAAGATTTAGGATTAATTTAGAATTAAGACTTAATGTATTTATTTCTGGAACATTTCATAATTTTTTTAATGTTGCAGTTTCAAAGATGCTGTAAGGTTTGCCAAAAATGGCAAGTTTGACAGTTTTGTAGCTGTGGGTGGTGGTTCTGTGATGGATACATGTAAAGCAGCTAATTTGTACTACAGTGACCCAGAGGCAGATTTTCTAGATTATGTTAATGCACCCATAGGGAGAGGGAAACCTGTTACTGTACAATTGAAGCCCATGATTGCTGGTAAGAGTATTAGTACTTATAATAATAGGCTAGGTGGCTGCTTTATTATTTTATAAATAAATAGTCTATTAATATCTGAGAAATAATGTAGAAGTGAAAGCCTGTCTTTGATTAATATTTTCGGAGATATGGTGCTATGTTTGTGGAACTGCTGCTAGTCAGCTGAAAACACTCTACAAATTCAAGTCACAAAGTGACATCACTTGCTACTTTGTAACATCTTTTTTTGTTTGTGTGTTTATGTTTATAGCTGTTATAATGAAAGTTGTTACACTTTATGTTACTTTAATGTCATATTTATTTTAGCAAATTTTTATAATCTATTTTTTCATGTTTTCCAAATTTGTGTAATAAAATTAATTGTGTTAACTATTTATAAGTTAAAATGGGTAATATTTTCCGAACTTATCGTAGAAACCTGTGTTTTCCATTGTAGGATACAATCCTCTTGTTTCTGCATCACTCTAGTTTTTATTTTGCTTTACTCATAGTACTTATTGTTGTTAATGTATAAAGTGTAGTGATATATATATAGCATGCAGGCAGAAAAGTTTCTGTGATGTGGTGAGTTAGAGAATTAGTTGATTGTCTTTTAATTCTAATAACCATTGACTCCCTAATGCATTTTTTTTATATGGTAGTCGCACAACTTAATTTCGAGCTCTTTATATAATCTATGCATAGTATAAAACGAAGTAGTTTTCCGCTATAGGATTTAACGTGGTTTCATCAATATGCAAGAAGTAATTAGTGATAAAGAGTGATTCAAGAAGTAGATTTAGATCTATATATAATACAAGACCACGTGAGCGAAGCCGCTGGCGGAAAGCTAGTGGCATAGGTATTTATAGCATAATATCAATGGATTGTTTGGGAGTGGGTAGGAGCGGTCGTTTTTGTCACTTACAGAGTCAGTCATTTTAATGTAGCCTAAGTGTGATTTATTTGAATACTGTCCTTGATATTGTACTCAATTTGAAGCAATTGCTGTCTTTCTTATGTAACGATTTACATATTATTTATTGGTCAATTTGTTTAAAATTGGATCCAATTCTTAACAAAAGTATTGATACCAGCTTTGGCCGAGGAGTTCAGTTGTCGTCAGACATCTATGTATACTATGTGGATGTAGATTAAAACATAGAAGCCTGGTTTTCGTATATTGAATTGCGTAGCATATGGAATCTGTGTCTATATTTCTTATACTGTTTTTTCATTCTTCATTCTAATTTTCAGTACCGACAACGAGTGGGACAGGTAGTGAAACGACAGGCACCAGTATATTCGATTTCGAGGAGATACATGCTAAAACTGGCATATCGCACGCTGCGCTGCGGCCACATCTTGCCATAATAGATCCCCTCCACACTTTGACATTGCCACAGACTGTGTCCAACTATTCTGGTTTTGATGTTTTTTGCCATGCTCTTGAAAGTTTCACTGCTATTCCGTACAATGAGAGAGGTCCAGCACCATCAAATCCCGCTTTAAGACCAACATATCAAGGAAGCAATCCTATATCAGATGTTTGGGCGAGGTTTTGTTTACAGGTATTTATTTATTATGTACTGCATTCATTCCTATATATACTATTCTTGTAGCATTAGCATCGGACAGGCACAGGTTAACCAAACGGATAGATAGAAGTCACATAGAGTGTGGGCTATAAAGCAGGCCCAATGTGGATTTGTGAGTGTGGAAATTAAAGTATGGAAATAATAAATTTTCTCTTTACTGTCCAATTATTACTATATACAGTCATAGATTGTAAAATGTGTATTTGATCTATGATTCAAAACACAAACAACTTCCTGAGAATATAATTTAAATTGTTTGCTTTGAGCCAAAATTACGCAATCCTATTAATATTATAGATGTGGAAGTTTCTTTGTTTGGATGTTCGGATGTTTGTCCGACAATCACTCCGAAACTACTGAACGGATTTCGATGAAATTTTTTTACAGATAGGGTATTCGCTGACGGAGGAGGAGGGAGATACTTTTTATCTCACTAAACATTCCCCTAGGGGCCACGCGGGCGAAGCCGCTGGCGAAAGCTAGTACTTAATATGTTTACAAAAAATATATCAAGACATTAGCAAATCTACCTAAATAAATTCTAAAGTGCCGACCCTAGAGGGATAGAATCCGTCAAATTTTGAACAAGCAGAAACTGCTCAAACAGATCCACTACGAATTTTATTGCCAATTCAAATTGGAGTAATTTGATTGTTTTATATAACTCGGTGTGCTGTTGTACAAGTGACATTATCTTTGATGTTGCTATGTTATCAATTGAGAACATAGAAACAATCTATATAATTTATGGATTCTGCAAAGTGAATATTTTCATTTACAGGTTATACAAAAGTATTTCACCAGATCTGTATATAAAGGTGATGATATAGAAGCCCGTTCTAGCATGCATTTGGCTTCAACGATGGCAGGAGTGGGCATAGGCAATGCGGGTGTGCATCTATGCCATGGTCTTGCGTATCCCATTGCGGGTAACGTGAAAACATTTGTAGCTAAAGACTATGGGTTTGTTCAATTTATTCTAATTATTCTGCTACAGTGCTATTAAGCTGAGAAAATGCTGAGATTGCACTTAATAATAGTCAAAATTCATATTATTAAACAGAGACTTAGCAAAAGTTAACTTAGTACAAGGTTTTACGAGAGTAAAATTTACTCCTAGAAGGTAGTAGGTTTGCTTATTCTCTGTATAATATGAATTCGGGCTAATACTGAAATTTTAGCGTAATTTCACTCTGACGATAAGCCTTAGTTATTATTAGTACTGCTACTGTCTTATAAAACGAAGGCTAAAGTCAGAACTTTGATAACGCTTGGCCACCTAAAGCAAATAGGAAAGATGACTATTTTTTTGTTTATCCTTTGGATAGATTATTAAAGAATATTAAACGCGTACTTTATTTTGCGTAATCCATAAATTAAGGTGATATATACAGTTGAAATTGAAATTACTCCTTTGTACATTTTCTACATAGTTCTTCTTCTTCTTTTATGAATGGCTGCGCATTTTGCACAATTCTGCCAATGTCAAGTTGTGACATAACGAACCTTGTCAACTGGTTGCCTATCATCTAAGTCATTTCTTGATAAATTTAAGCAAAAAAGTATCTAATATTTTTCTATTATACAACTGACAGACTAAATAGCTTTTTTTTACACAAGCATTAACAAAGGAGAAACCGTCAAATGAGATGTATTGTTTTATTTTGGTCAGGTTATGGTTTAAACCTGGTACTAAAATGTTTCATTGTTTTATAAAAAGACCGATATAGTTTGAGGTTTGGCATATTAGTTACTCAGATGCCTTGTGGAGTAGGCGGAGACAATTGATCTTTATTTTTTTAATTTATAATTTGATGTACATTCAATACATAAATATTATATTTCATTTGTATTCTGTATATCATGTTTTAGGTTGCCTGAAAGAAATTATTTTTTAGCAATAAGGCCGTCAATTGTTCTGTCTGTTACATTATTATGTATTTTTCATTTACTTATAGTGTGTACAATAAAGAGTCTTTCATTCATTCGTTCCTTCATATTGTTCTAAGAAGTCTTAAAAGAAAACAAATGTAAATCAAGATTTATAATAATGTTATTGTCAAGTATAATAATAGTATTAATACTAAATTCCTTGAAAAATTGGTGCAGATTCAAATGTTTATCAATGATTCCAATAACCCTTTCCGTCTTATTATAGATCGAGAACAAACTTTAGTACCTCTTTTAAACCATTATCCGATCAAATTAGGTCACCACGTCGCTACTTAACGTTTTCCCTGCTGCTATTGTCTTGCTTTAGGCGGTCAATTAATAATAATTTCATAATTATAAATTTAAATCTGAAAGCACATCAATCTGAGCCAAAGGCGGCAAACGAAACGAATTATTTTACTGATACTTTTGAATTTACTCGGTCTGACTGGTAGCAAATGCCTTTTTGGCATTACGCCCGCCATTTGCTGCTATTGCCTATACTATAAAAAAATAACATTTTATTTACACCTCGCAAATGAATGACACGAAACAATTCGCGATTTTGCTCGAAAAACCCTGCGATTCTGTAAAAATCGGTATTCTACTTGAGAACAGGCGTGCAAATATTGTAATCGTAATATTATTCTATTAAATGATCAAATTTTTTTAAAATATAAAAATTCTTTTACGCTATAGAAGCTGTGTTCCATAATCTAGTTTGTCAATTTTAATTAATTCATATTCAAAATGTAAATTATTGTATAAAGTTATGCACATATTGTATACATTATTTTTATAAATGTCTTTATGATAAGGAGGCTGGTACAATAAATTTATACATTTTTATATAGTTTGCCGGGGCATAACTGCTACACGTTTAGTCCAATATTTGGAGTCGGAGTGAACAAATAAACATACCTCCATTTTTTATGTACATAGAGGGTAGAGGCAAAACATTAAGCTTCTTAAAAAGTGGCTTATAACTATCATCAAATCAAGCATTACTTTGACATGAATATACTTATTTTGAACTCTAAAAATTCTGTCAAGATCAACAGACCATAGCTCAAAACAGACGACACATATCCATGGTAGGCGATTAAATCAGCTTCAACAGAGACTGTTTCAGTTTTTTTTATTGCAAATATAAAACGGTTTAGTTTTCCACATAATTATGGTCAATATGCTGCTTCCAATTTAGATGTTTATCAATTAACAACCCAAGAAAACGTACTGAATCTACTTCGTCTAGTTAAATGTTTTTATAATTAATTTTTACAGGTATATTACTTGTGTTATATGATCTGAACTGGATTGAGTTATTAATATTTAATTTTAAATAAGTGAAGTGAATTTCGAAATGACATAGGAATAGAATGTCTAAGACACGTATATTCAATCAATTTTGTTTTGAATTTTATACAAAAATTGAATCAATAGAATTTTTACACTAAATGCCGTGATTTCGGAAACATGAGTGAATTCGTAGTTCGGGTCTGGATTTTTACAGAATCGCAGGGCTGGTGTGCTAGGTTCATGTTTTCATACATACAATCCTTTTCGGTTTGTGCCTTGTTTACCTTAATTTTTACTTATTATCTTTACAGTACTGAGCCTATAATACCCCACGGGTTATCAGTAGTAGTGACTGCGCCAGCTGTGTTCCGTTTCACGGCAGCCAGTGACCCTGAGAAACATCTAGAAGCTGCCAATCTTCTCGGCGCAAACACAACAGGCAAGAAACTTGCGGACGCGGGTGCGGTATTATCTGACGTAATACTTAAATACATGGATGCTATGAAAATTGAGAATGGTCTCAGTGAGCTTGGGTATTCTAGTGATGACGTACCGAATTTAGTTAAGGGAGCTTTACCACAGGTTAGTATTATATTTTTTTATATTCATCATCAGCCTTTTTACGTCCTCACTGCAGTGACTGAGGCCTTCCTTATGGATGGTTAAGAAGAGGCATGACTCCATGCTGACCTAATGCGGATTGGAGGGTATTAATGACTGCGTATGCAGCCGGGACCAATAGCTAACCTGAATACTTATCTAACTAATTGATATACTAAATTTTACTGTAGTAATTAATGACCACATATTTGTTTTCATATTTATGTCTGTTTTTTCAGCAACGACTTCTGCAGTTAACTCCTTTGCCGCAATCAGAAGAAGACTTAACTAAACTACTGGAAGATTCCTTGACTGTATATTGAGGTATGAATACGGAGACTGAAAGGAAATATTGAGTCAGATTCGAAGGTAGCATAAGGATATATTTTGGATATTTTACATCAATATATTTTGTAGATAAATAGGAAATAAGAAATGTATTGATATATAAGTATCAATATTTTGTTTACATTTACATGTACATTTAGTATAGACTTTGTTACTTGTTATAATCGCAATAAATATTATTTTATGTAATTTGACTTTTATTATATTTCTCAAGTAAATTCACATCTATAGTAATTTCTTTAAGTTGAAGCAATCATTAAAATATTTGAATAAAGCAAAAGAATAGAAGATAGCAATAAAAGACAATCTCTTTTTTATGGTTTTAATTTTTAAAATTTTAAGTACATAAAATAAACCTATGAACTAATTTGTATAATATATAATAATATGTATATCTTAAATTAATTTGTTGTAATTTGACTTCATTGTGTTACTTTATAATATTCAAGAAGCGCTAGATACAAACATTGGTCGTAGTATTGTTCGCGAAGATTCATAATGAAAGGCACTGTACTATAAAATGTAGATGTGTTATTCATATGTGACTAGCGCTACCATATATCACTTACTACTTATGTGAGAGTTAACGCAGTTGTTAGTTTGTTTTAACTCTAACATGTGATTTTGTACCGTGTGCCTCACACCGCTTCAGGGACAATGTTGCTGTGGTGGAATGGACTGCTCTCATATGACATATTGGAAGCGTTCACGGTTACGTTGGGGAGGGGCTGATAGCGGCTCAGTTTGGGTGTAGCAGGCCCTGTCAAATCCTCTGATAGTTGCTGGTATACTAAACCACAGTCTTTTTTCGTCCGACCCGGTTGACTCATAGCAGCAATTATGGCACTGTTATATCTAATTTGCTTATTTCTTCTACTGCACACTATCATTACAACCTTTGCGATCACAATTAACAACAACATTGAACTGAATATTGCAATCAATATTGGCCATAAGTAGTCGTAACGTCCGTGTTCCTGTTCATCGACTGACGCCTGGACGTACACATCAGGCTCATCGTCATAAACGCTGTCATTTTCCAACAGTTTGATGGCGATTTTCACGTTTTCTTTCTCTGGTTTGCTAGCCTTCTGGACAGTTTTGGCTGTTGGTTTCTCAACAAGCTTCAATTTGATGTCGACGTCATCATCTCCGTCATCGTAGTCCTCGGACGCGTCATCGTCATCTTCATTCTCGTCGTCATCCTCATCATCAGCTTCCTCATCGTCGTCGTCATCTTTGTCGTCATTATCAGTGACGTCGTAAAGTATTTTATTATCGTTAACCTTAGTGTCGTCGGCCAACTTGCCGTCGTCGAGAGTGTTTTTCAAGTCAAAGTTTCCTTGGGCATCTTCATCGATCCTCTCCCATATTTCTTCATCAGATACCGCAGGCAAAGGTTCCACTGGATGAACACTGGAAGCACCGCAAATTTTACGAGTGAGGAATTCCCAACTGTAGGTTTCCTCTTCTTCTTTCTCTTTAGCGTTAGTAGCTAAGTTAGCGATGCGTGCGGTGTTGGCATTCGGCAATACTTTACGTTTACTCAACCACGTCATAAGATTCTCGAATTCGCGGTTGCAAACTAATGGGTTGTTACTGATGTCGAGAGATCGCAGATGGTTCAGTGTATCCAGTTCAGTTTGTTTTATTTCTGTGATATGATTCTGTGATACATTCAAGAATGTTAAGTTGCCGAGCAATGTTTGTGGGTTGTTTTTGTTTGTTTTCCATAGTGAAGTTAATTCAGTATTACTCATATCTAACCAGGTCAACATTGGAGTGTGAATAAATACTTCAGCGGAAAGAACTTTCAAAGGGTTGCCTTGAAGGAAGAGTTTCGCTAGTTCATTATTTTTCTCGAATATTTTAATGTCGAGAGTTGTAAGCATATTGTCAGCTAAATTGATTTCGACTAGTTTTGGACATACAGAGAACACTTTATTGCTTATAGTCTTGATGTTGTTACCAGACAAATTAATTACTGACAGAGCAGTAAACGTTTTAAGAGAATTGTCATAGATTTCTTCAAGGCCACAGTTAGAGGCATCAAACAAATAGATATTAAATTGTTCAGCTGAGCAATTGAACCCTTCTACGGGTAAATATCTTAAAAGTGGATTGTTAGAAATTTTGAAAATGTCCAATTCGATATTTTCTTTTATCAGTTCACTGGAGATGAAACTTAAGTTATTGTAAGACAAATCGAGATAGTTTAACTCTACGAGTTTATGGAATGCTTGATTGTGGATTTGTTGCATTTTGTTCCCGCTGAGATTAAGATTAGCAATATATGTCATACCATTAAACATAGATGGCCCAACGAATTTGATTTTAGTTTGACCAGCGTTAAGAGTCAACAAGTCGGAGATTTGTAATCCATAAACTGTGTCGATAGGATTTCTTTGTATGTGGAGCGTAGCGAGCTCGTTATTTTCAGAGAATATATCATCTGGCAGTGATTTAATTTTGTTATCGCTTAAATCGAGCTCTTCCAAATCTAGAAGCTTTTTGAATGTGTCCGGATCCAGGTCAGTCAGGTTGTTTCCAGCTACATTTAAGTACATTAGACCCGGCATATTTTTGAACGTGTTAGCGGTGATAGTTTTCATGTTGCAGTAGGATACATCGAGTTCCTGTACCGTAGTAGCATTCAGGAAATAATCATCAGAACCAGACTCTGGGAATTTAAATGGGTTATTCGATAAAGTGAGGAGTAACAACTTTTTATTGTTTGCGAAAGTTTCCGGATGTAGATTCTTTAATTTGTTATTGACCAAGTTTACTGCGTAGAGTTCCGAAAGACCGTAGAAAGCGGTTTGGCTGACAAAGTCAATTGTGCTGTTCACGATTTTCACGGTAGCGATCTGGTGGAGACCAAGTTTCCTGAATATATGATCGGTCAGCTTGATTGGTAGACCGGGGTCAGCGTTTTCGATGACCAAATCAGTGATGTCGTCACCAAATTTCTGTGTGCCGAGCTCGAGGCGGTTGCACTTGGCTATCTTGTAGCCTTGGAATACTGTGCAGATGCAATCTCTCGGACAGGGTCTGTCCTCATTGAATAGTATCTCTTGCTCGTCTTCTTCGTAGTCATCGTATTGGGTGAATGTTGCGTCTGTGGTGCTCTTGGCAGTTTTGTTTACGGGCTCACCGAGTGAAAGCGCACAAACTGCCAGGAGCAGAATCAACTCCCGGAACCTCACCCCCATGTCGTCGTAGCGAACCCTGGAAACAGAAACACGATACCATTGAATTCACGTTTTGCTCAAGGTTACATTAATTATGAAATTTCTCGAAACAACTCTACTTAGTCACCGCTAGTAAAAAATAACAGTATTGTTGAACAATGACCGTAAACTGGTTCTTTTTTAAAATTTGCACAAAGCAATCGTACCAACAACGCGTTGTTCCTTTTAAGGATATACAAGATTTACAAATAGCACTTTTCCGTTGTAAACAGTAGCGTTGCTCTGCGGTAGCGTGCTCTGTATAAGGAACATTACTTAGTTTCTATAAAACAGTTCACACTATAATGAAAAACGTCTGGAAATTGTGTACTAGATAATATGTTTCCAGTATATAACGTCTAATTTTTATTTTCCAAATGTTTATCAAATCAAATATTCTACCAAGGTACAGTCAACAGTGCAATTGTCAAATTTTGTTCACATGAGTTTAAACCTTAATTCCATTGTAGGTAGAGTGCAAATTAACTGAGGAAATTTGACATATTGTGTCTGACGTGCAGTCGTCTCCTAATAAGATATGTACACTATATGATTTGTTATTTTTATATTCATAAAGTTAGTCTGTTCAGCTATATAATAAATATTTATTTTTGTAAACGAGTCTTACATATCAAATTCTCGTATCACATTTTTAGTTAGTTACTAAAATCCTCCAAAACGACTAGACCGATTTTGATGAAATTTTAAATGTATATTCAATAAGTCTGAGAAAAGGTTGTCATCTGTTTTTTTATGCCCCTAAGTGATAAGGGACCACCGCAAATTTACATGGCAAAACAACGTTTGTCGGTCTAGCCGTAACTCTAACTCAAAGTCAAAATAATATAGACTTCTTAAAAGTACTTTTGAACGATTAAGAAACGCATCAGCTCTAATGGGAGTAACGACAGGTTACAACTTGCAGGTAAAAAAAGAACAAGCTTCACAAATCTTTTCATACACATTATAGGCTACAATGGGATGGACATGCTTCAAAATCTATTATTGAAAAAATATTGCAAATTTATCGTAATATAAAATCCAGCTTCATGGAGCGTAGAGCGTGTGTATGGAAGGTTAGAGGAAGGGCGCCATACGAAGTTTCTGCCCCGGTTTATAAATAATCGTAGATCCACGCTTGATAATATTGCTAATATGTCGTATCATATGGCTAAAATTATAGCTAGAGGAGTTAGGTAGTCGCTTTGCCGTGTGTATTCGTAAATACGGATATATACGTGACAAACAATACGCGCAGTACGGCAGATGTCGGCTTTGTTCCAGTGAAATCTTATCTGCTCATTGTCCAACTGATGCGGTCGCGACTCGAGACGCATGCGCATATGTTCGCGGCCTTTTGTTTCTTTTGTAAGTAGCGAAACTTTATTATACCTATACTTAATTCATTACTAGAGCTTTTTTACGTCGTCTACATATCGTCTGAAATTACCGAATGTAACATTCATTCATGTCATTATTGTGGTGTAAGTAATGTAGAAAGTTATATACACCAAAATAATGCATTTATTTTAATATAACATGATTTTTTATTTTTTTATTTCAGCTTGTTAGTTATTATATGAATTTAAAGATGTGAGGCCAAGATCTTTTGATCACTATGCATATTTAGATCTTTATGCAGCTTTGATTGCCTGAATGTAAAAATCGAACTCTGTCGGTATTCGAAACCTTGCAATATAATTAAAATAGAGGTGTCATGGTTATTCGTACGAATATATGTGAAATAGTTCCATACGTTGAAACTGGATGAAAATGAGTTTCCACAGTTGTGATTATGACCTACTACAGCCGTGTCACAGATTAAATTTTGTGTTATAACAGATTAACTACACACAACAGTACAACCTAACATTTGTTTAATCTACATTCATTAAATACATTGTTTTGTCCGTTTATAGAGGTCATACAGTTATGACCTATTTCGAAAATAAGTATC